ACGAGGCAGGACATAGCAAAACTGGCCATTCATGGCAAAACTACTCCAGGTCACCATATCAGGACCTATTTGCAATACCTAAATGAAGTAGGTTTTTTTTTTTTTTAAAGATTTTTGGGCTTATTCTGAGCTACATACATGTATTAAGAATGAAAATATATTGAAGTTGAGTGAGGATGCTTAGGAAAACTTGATTTTTTTAATCAAATATATCCTGGGCAAGAAAAATTAACCCCAAAAGGTGGCACCTGCACTGATTGTAGGAAGTGGCATGGGGGTTTCTAGGGTATTTCTCTGTGTGGCTTTCCACACAAGCTCTCATCTCAGAGATTTCCCGATTATATCATGGACTTAGAACTAAATGATAACCTGGGGACTCTGATTTTTACGGCCATTTCAGGCAGAAATCCTCAGATGAATGGCTTGGGAAGTCTCAGGATGGCTGAGTGACAGCTCGGTTCAGGAACGGGGTGTACTGAACATGAAGTGTGAGAGTGAGTAAAAAGGAAGCATTTTGCAAAAATCCTTCTCCTGTTTCAAGGCTGAGAGGTATGAAATGTCTGCATTTAACAGTTATTAATAATTACTGCTTCCTCTCTGCCAACACTGCCTTGGGAGCATCTGTGTGATTTAGCCAAGCACCCATGGCCATCACTCAACTGGCTGCTGTGACTCAGCCATGGAGCCTCATTCACTTCCCTCACTGGCTCTGTGACCCGCTTCTGTCCTGCTTCAGCTCACTTCATCTGCCTGAGTCTTGGGCCACCATGTGAGAAATGGAAAAATTATATATAAAGCAACATTAGTATGAGGTAAAAATCATGGGGGTTTGGATGGCAGACATGAATCACAGAGATAAATATTTCTCACCTTATCCTAAATCTTGCAATATCTGATCCATAGAAGAGCTAAGAGTTGCAGTCAAGATTTCCAGGGTGAAGTCCTGACTTTATTAAAAATAGCAAAATGCTTCTTCACCTAAAAAAACAAAGGTTCAGCCCCTGGAGGCTGAATCACAAGCTCTGTGGGACCTATGTTCCCATGCCAAAAATGGGAGAAGAGGGCATGTTCCCATGCCAAAATGCTGAAGAGCACCTCTATGCTCTAACCAGTTTCCTCAGCTAAAGTTAAACTGTGCTTCTCCCCCTTTTTTCTACCCTCTTCTTCCTACTTCTCAATCAAGCCTCCTCAGACATACTTCGTGTTTTCCACTTGGTGACTCAGCATCAGCTGCTCAAACTCTTTGGGAGCATGACAGGGCTGTGACCGACTGAGAGGGAAAAGAAATCTGCCTTAGGGGACAGAGAAATGATTAAGTGCTAAGTACAACATGAATTTGCCAGAAAGCAACATCCCCACCAAGAGCCTGCTGTCTCCCTGCAGGGCTGTGCTCAGCCTTCAGACTTGTGAACACCAGTGAGCAGATTTAGTGCTCATGGCAGCTTTGGAAGGGGCATCACACAACAAGGATAATGCTCAGGGCCTAAAATAATCACACCTCTAGAAATTTATTAATCCAGGCTTAAAATGGGCCCTAAATGCTGTTGAACAATCCTCATCAATCTTAGCAGTACATGCATGGAGCAACCCCAAAAACTCCCAGCCTTCACCTGGCACCAAAGGGAAAAAAGTACAAATCCTCAGCATTTGTTCAGGCTGCTTTGGTTGAAAGTATCAGGGGTAACAAACCTGAGAGTGCAAAATGAACAAGGGGGTCTTTATACCCATGATAATTTTGTGTACATAACAGGGAAGCACAGTATGATATTGACTCCCTCATGGCTGTGAGAAGGACTTCATCCCCAATGGCATAACTTGCTCTAGTACTCTTTTCTTCCAAACACTAGCTGGTAATAAAACCTTCCTTCAGGTACACAGGCTATTGGTAGTACAGTTTGAATTGGCTGGTTTCAGTTCCCACTGCTTCCAGACAGTAAATTTCAAGCCTTACTGGAAAAGCAGCATTTTTATACTTCACAAATTTGGATTCTTTAAAACATTTTCGAAAATAAACAACTTTTTTTGATGAAAGGCTTAATGAAAAAGAAAAATATCTGTTATGTCCATGCCTATCAGTACTGATGCTCCCAGTCTCCCCTGTGTTCCTTCCACAGGAGGATTCAAAGCCCTCCAGATGCACTCAAAAGCATTTCATCCTTCCATGTGTGCTGCTCTGCCATGGAGAGGTGCACAAGATGTGAAATAAATCACACCTCGCCATACAGAGCAGCTGTGACAGCCCCTGACAGCCACGCTGCTGCAGTGCATCCATGTCAGCTGCCCTTGGATCTCTGCTCAGAGCCACCAGATGGGGAGGAACATGAGTTATGAGAGGAGCTCCTCCATGCCAGGCAGAACCACAGGAGGAGCTTGGCCCATCCTGAAATCCCCTCTCACGCCACGACCGCCCAGTGCCCAGAGCACTCACCTCCAGAGAAGGACGGGGCCATGGTGGGTCACTCCGCTGCTGAGAGTCACTCTGCTGCTCTGGCTGTGCTGTCCATGCCTGGAGGTGATGTGGCTGCACTCGCAGGGTGGTGCTGAGGCAGTGGCCAGGCTGTGCCTGTCCTCCCCCTGAGGGGGCTGTGCGCTGCCCCGGCCACAGCAGCTCCATCCTTGGAGCCCTGGGTTTGCAGGGAGTCCGGGAACTTGCTCTTTGCTCTTAAACTGTGGTTACAGATCACTGAATACTGATATTAAAGCACAGGGAAAACCTCCATCAACTCTGGCAAAGTGCTTTGAAATCTTTTTCTGCAGAAGGACAGAGAGACTTTAAGGGGATGGAAACCAGCTCCTTTGCCAGCCATGCCAATTTTTTTCAGCAATCTCCAGTGGAAAAAGAAACAGATTGAGGTTTGCTTATGTATCATTCCCATCCAGCACCATTCCTCTGCCTGCTGAGGAACCTGGTTTAACTTATTTTGATGTGCAAAGAAAGAGGTAGGTAGACACGAACACACACACACAAATATATAGAGCACACACACATAGCCACACGTAATCTAGGAGGCAAAGAGAGAGTCTGTACCTGCATTTGTGATATCTTCCTGCACCAGGTAAGGAAAGCATCTTTTTCCTTTTAACCGGGTGCCGTTCCTACATTGTTTCCTCGCAGTCTATCTTTAGGTTATAGCAGTTCACAGGTTTTTTCAGCAGATGTGTTATTCAATTACTTCAGGGCTTTTCCATTTGTAATATTGCGAAGCAATGATAGCCAGCAGACTTCACCTGTCTTTTAGAGATAGCCAGCCTGGTAATTTTAACTCTGCCCATTTTATCCACACCAGTAAATCTCATAACATGGTTATAGAGAGATTCCAATTTTTGTAGAATCTTCTCCTGGGAATTCCTGTATACAATATTGCCATAGTCTGTAATGGACATAACCTGTGATTGGATTAATGTTTCCCTAGTGAAGAAGTCAAAGCATTTCATGTTCCTATAACTGGTTTGCAGCTCTGCAGTAAAGGTCTTTGGTGTGGCAGAGAGAATAATTGCAAACTCAGCCCCAATCAGAATATATAATCCCCTCACAGTGAGGGTCTAACTCAGTGCAGTTAGACTGCCTGTGAAGGGGTTTGTAGTGGGATTTTCTTGTCAGGAGAGCAGAATGCATGGAAAACAAGTTAATTTCAGCATTTCAATATTCATCATCCAGTCCTGTACGAAGGGAGGCAAATACTTTGCTACTGCTCCAAGGGAGAGCCCTGCAGCTCCCAGAGCAGGGAATGTGAAGAGGCAGGCAGGGCTTTGCAATGGCCCACTGGTCTCCTCACAGGAAAAGCCCTCCATTCGTGTTTAGATAAACATGTGCCTTTGCTGTTAAGAGTAAATACCACTCTGTCCAAATCAAAGCCTAGTTTGGACCCATATTGGCTTCTGAACTTGTCAGCATCCCTGGTGTCACCTTACCTTGGTCCTGACACAAGTGACTGATAAGGAATTACTGTTGGGAGTTCAGCGTGAATTACTTACATCTGAGACACGGATCACATCCAGGAAGAAGAGGCTAATGGCAAGCCAGGAGTAAATTCTGAAGCAGGATCTGCCTGCTCAGGTGGAGGAGGAGAACTTCAGCACTCACATGGGAGGGAAGGGAACTAGAGGCTGGGAACAAAAGGTCTCCTGTTTTCAGCTCCCATGCTAGTCTCCCCAAAAAATGGGATGTGTAAACCCTCAGGCAAACTAGCAGAGACCCCTCAGTGAAAGAAAGGCTCAGGCTCCCATCCCCAGCTGGTCAGGGAGAGCTTTCAAGAACCACAGTTTGTTGCAGAACGCTGAAAGCAGCTGTGGGTTAAAGCACCATAAAGTCAGCTCTGCCTGTGGTGTTCAGGGGAGATGTGACTGCGATCTCAGCATGGAAAAATTGGGTACTGGCAACTGTGGCTTGGCCAGAAGGTGCCGGAGACAAACTGAAAGAGGAAGGAAATGGGAGGCAAGAGCAAAGAGCTTGAACAAGACATTCTGGAACAAGGATGAGGAGGATGGGTTCCAGGGCGGGCGTGCTGCCTGGCTGAAGAGCAAGGCAGATGCTCTTGGCAGATAACCTTATGTTTGGATGTTACAGCATTGCTAGGCAGGTGGAGAGGATGGCAAGGTTAGCACCATGGGACTTGACAAATGGGATGTCATCATTCCCCATATGGGTAACTGTCTCCAATCTGTGCTTCCTGTGCCACTGAAAGGTTGGAATGTCTCAGCAGAAAGGCAGCATCTCTGGCAGAGATGAGAAATCTACTTTAGGTCTGTCTTAAGACCTGCAGATTTCAGGCTGTGGGGCAGATACCTGTGCAAAAGACAAGTAAGAAGTGGAGACAGTGATTTTCAGGAAAATCTAGTTATTAAATCTAAACTTAAAAGACTGGCTTTTACAAGTCTGACAGAGAGAGCCTGTGACAGCCAATAGCTTCCCAGAACCCAGCCGTCTTGGTTTTGAAGTGATCGGGAGCCTGTGAGGAGGAAGAAATGGAAATGAAACAACACACTCATTCAGCTGCTTTTTTCACTTTATTCATATTTCTAGAGTAGTCTTTCTAGCAGCTAAGCAAATACTGAAACTCTCTTATTATATATATATATGTATGTATGTATATATAGTAACATCCAAAAATAAATAATAAGGAATTCTGCAAGTGTTTTTGCAATGAACATGGGAAAGAACATTTTAACTCCAGCAAACCAACTTTGAAAATCTTCACTAAAATGCTATAAAACGCAATGATAGTCATAAATTAGCACTAGATTAATTCAAAGGAGAACTTATCCCCCCCTCCACGTACCTTCCAATCCATATCTCCAAGAGGTCATTTTAATTATCTCACTGTCACTGCTATTCATTACTCTGATTTTGGAGACAGAGAGCCAGCACTGTGCCTTTTGGATGCCTTGGAATTCATCATATGAAGGCATTTTATTCTCCCCAAAATGTACACAGTTTAACCCTCTCACCTGGAAGTAGTGACGGTAGCAGGTTTGCTTGGTGTTTTAAATCATTTTCCTTACAGTGGGATACCTCCTTGCTTTCAAGTGAGTTCCCCTTGTCAGACAGCAACAAAAGAAAGCCCAGCTAATGGGTGGCTAATGCACAGATGAGTTCAGCTCAAGTTTTGGCAGATCCTGAGTAGCTTGTCCTTCTTCAGAGGCATGCAGAGCCAAGCTTTTGTCCTTACTCATACCTGCTCACTCCTTCTGGCTGCAGTAATGCAAACTGGATGGAAACCATGTGCCAGTGGCTCCCAGGAGGTCCAGTGGGATGTGGGACCCAGCTCAGCCTGACTCTGTTTCTAGATCATGGCATTCCCTATGTAATGGGGAGGTGCTGAGGTTTTACTTGGGATTTCTTACACAACACTTTTGCTCACCCCTTTCAGCACTACTCCTCGCTCACACTGCCTCAGTCATACATCTTTTGGTGAGTTTGGTCTTTCTAGACCCCAAGCAGTTTTTGATGGAGGACCACTGTCCCTGCCTGTTGGACAGGTCTTGCAGCAAGTTTCATGCCTGCAGCCTGACAGTCCCATTTCTCACATGACCCCTCTCCTCAAATGATCTGATAGAAGAGCAAAAAACCCAGCCATGCAGTGGATGATAAACTGCACACTGAGAAGCACCTGCCTGGCTCCCTGAAGCTATTTATCAGGCTCTCTTAATGCAAGCTAACAGGACTAGCACATGCAGTAGGCATAAGGGCTTCTGAGCCCAGCATTAAAAGGGGAGACATCAGATGGTGCAGTAGAGAAGCCAGGACTCCCTCATTAGCTCATTGTATGGATTACCCCTTTAAAGAGAGAGAAGGGGACTGGTGGAGGAAGGAGAGGCTTTCTCATTTTAACAAATAGCTTTTCAGACACCACAAATGATTTCTGCAAATCTATAAGTTCACTCTTTTTTTTCCCCCCACAGATAGGGAAGAAAAAAAAAAAAAGCCCTGAAATTGATTCACCATCTATAAATAAAAAAGAATCAATAGTAAAATTTCTAGCTAATTTCCCTCTCCCTCTTTGCTCCTTGGACTATTTGTTATCTTAGAAATATTTGTCTGGGAAAAAAAAAAAAAAAGAGAAACATCATCGATTCCTGACTGCGACGTGTTGCCCTACAGCTCTCCTCTCCTCTCCTCTCCTCTCCTCTCCTCTCCTCTCCTCAGCGAGTGGAAGGAGATGAGTCCTTCAGGTGCGCCTGGCTCCTCTTCTCGGGTTTGCCTGCAGCACGGCTGTTCCCGGGGCCCTGCTGGGCAGTGCATTTGTAGAGTGGCACGTTGTCCTTCCTGCCAAAGGAAGAAGAGAGGACAGGTGCTGTCAGCACGGTGTGCTCCAGCAGCAGGGAACTGCTGTGCATGGGGTGCGCTCCGAGGAGAAGCCGCGTGTGACGTCTCGCAGCGAAGTGCATCTGTAAGGAAGGCTTTGGCAGCTTGAGACAAATTAGTGGTGTTAAAGACCAGCTGGTGCCATCCCTCTCTGGCCAGAGCAGGGTTAGTCCTTCCAGGAGGCTTCAAGGGCTTTGTGCTAGCTCTGAGCCCTCCAAGGATCCCATTACTTTTCTTTGGGTGAAGCACTTCCCACTGTTTCCTCCTACCGAGGTCCCTTCATTTCGGTTTCCCTTCTGTTCATTTCTGCTCATGAACAGCCCTCCTCTCACTGTCAATATTTCCTTCTGGGGTGTGTACCATTCCCAGGATGGCTGGGTTCACTGTCCCTTCATTTCTGCTCATGAACAGCCCTCCTCTCACTGTCAGTATTTCCTTCTGGGGCGTGTACCATTCCCAGGATGGCTGGGTTCACACATCTGCTCACAGCTGGATTGCCCCCACTGCCAGGGGTGTTCACAGCTAGGTCAGAGTCTTTGGGGACAGACTGATTGTGTGGCCAGGGAACACCCAGCACATGATGCCAGCTCTTCCAGCATCCAGACCAGTGCCTTCAGAGCCCACAAAGATGTGACACTGCTATTTCACTGTGCCCATAACTCAATTTTCTAACTCCAGTTATCTAACTCCAATTATCTAGCCAAATTTCATGCCAAATTTCAGTTGTCAGTATAGTTTGGAGTTTCCAGTGACTCTTTCAGGCTGCAGCCCCAGCAGAGCTGTGGGAGTTTTATAACTGGCCTCCAAAGGAGCAGGGTTGTGATAAATACAAAGTGCTTTTTGCAGTGATGCCCCAGGAGTTCACAGGGTAAGAACTGAGCTTTTCTCAGCACCACAGAACCAGCTCCCCAGCTTCCCACAGCTTATCTGGTGGAAAGATTTGCTTTGTAACACTTCAGTTCCTGATAAGGACCTAAGTCTCATTACTTGTTTCCCAAACAAAACAGTCCTCTGTGTATGTGTTTACAGTGTGCATGATGAATTTTTGCTACTTTAAGGAAAAATAAATCTCTGTTAACAGTTAATTCTGGAACATTTCTGTTCTGTTTACTTATAGAGCCATTTTGCTTAGAGGCTGTAATTAAAATCCTCCATCTCACAGCCTACCACTCTCACTGCCCCTCCTCCCTCCAGCTCCTGACACACTGGTCACAGCAAGATGGGCACAAGTGACCAGACAGCCTCAGCCCTGGTCTGTCTGGGCAGAACCAGGCCTGGGGAAGAAGGGTCACAGCTCACACCATTGTGTCCAGAGGCCTCGCTTGATGAGGGGCTGGATTGCAGAGAGTGTGGGTCCCTCATTCAGGGAGGCTCAGCCAGCACTGGGCCATCCCAGAGCAGGGACCTTCCCCTCACAGCCCCTGCCAGCACTGGTGGCTCCCAGTGGGACTGAAAAGCTGTCTCTGAGACAAACACTGGGACCAGGAGCTAGAGGAACCATCTTTGGCTGCCCTATAAGCCTGCCTGTGGAATTCCACTGGAGAGTGGGGTCCCTTCACACCCACCCCAGAGCAGCACCATCCCTGAGCAGCCATCACCATCCCCTGATGGAAGATACAGATTCAGACAGCCTCTCCGTTGTGCAAGCAGCAAAACCCAACTATCCATTCCCATCCCAAGGAAGGCAATCAAACTGTGCTGTCAGTGTTGCTCACACCATACTGAGCACTGAGCTCAGCCATCCCAGAGCAGGGACCTTCCCCTCACAGCCCCTGCCAGCACTGGTGACTCCCAGTGGGACTGAAAAGCTGTCTCTGAGACAAACACTGGGACCAGGAGCTAGAGGAACCATCTTTGGCTGCCCTATAAGCCTGCCAGTGGAATTCCACTGGAGAGTGGGGTCCCTTCACACCCACCCCAGAGCAGCACCATCCCTGAGCAGCCATCACCATCCCCTGATGGAAGATACAGATTCAGACAGCCTCTCCGTTGTGCAAGCAGCAAAACCCAACTATCCATTCCCATCCCAAGGAAGGCAATCAAACTGTGCTGTCAGTGTTGCTCACACCAGCCAAGGGGCTCCAGTGACCCTTCAGGGTGATCCCTCAGGCAGCTCTTGGTCCCCTCAGCTGTGCCTTGCCAACTTTGCTCATTTTCCCCCACTGCTGTGGCAGGACACAAATGAGAAGATGCTTTACCTGTGCCTGGTATGCTCTTTGAGCTCTCAGTCTGCTTCCTCTGAGGTCAGTTATTTGTATTCCCCAGGGCAGCTGCTGACCCTGGGCAGGCTGGTGCTGGTGCTGTACCAAACCCTCAGACCTGGGAGGGAGAGGAGCTCTGTCACAAATCCATGTCACACGTCAGAAGTGAAGTGACCTGCCACGCACAAACCCTCAGACCTGGGAGGGAGAGGAACTCTGTCACACATCTGTGTCACACATCCGTGTCACAAATCCATGTCACACGTCAGAAGTGAAGTGACCTGCCAAAGGCCACGCAGCAGACCTGGGAAGAACTGGAAAGAGCTGATGGAACCCCAGTTTTCTCGATCCCTGCACCCTGACTCACCCCAAGGAATTGGGCCCCTCTGTAGTGACACAGAGAAACCTGCCTTCCTCACCACACAAGTGTGTGTTTTTCAGTACCTCTGCTTTTATTTGCAGAAGAATGTTTTAATATATGTCTAAAAGAAATTGTAATAATGTAGTTGCTGATGGGGCCCAGGGCTTAGAGGGCTTTGCCTACACCAGCCCTTCCCTCCCCACTGTCACAGCTGCTACTAGTTCAGCATTTACTGCATCTTTACAGTTCAATCACCAACCTAAGGCATAGTGGTATTTTGAAGAGATAAACATTGAGAGAAAAATAAATAAATTAGGACCCTGGGAGGGAGACCTGAAAGGCACAGTGAAGTGAGAACAAGCAGTTTCTCTGGTTCTGTGTCTAATTACATTGACATGTTCCTAGACAACACTGGAGACCCAAACACAGCAGCAGCTGTGAACCAAATGGAGAGTCATGAAAAACATCAGAAAGCCAGCCAGGCAGCCCATCCCTTGCCCAGGGGCTGTATCAGCACTGCCCATATCACTGCTGACAGCCTTCCTGCCTGCTCCCAGGGCACAGCCAGCACTGGGTGGGCAGGCAGGGCTCAGCTCCTGGTCCATGCAGACCCCATTTCTCTGCACCCACTCCAGTCACTCAGCAGCACTGCTGAGTGTCATTCCCATGCTCCTCTATGCAAGTGAAGGAAATAATATAATGCAAAATATGAAAAGAGGAAAAAAATGGGTCTTAAATGTCATTTTTCCTGATTTGTTTAATACAGGAAAAGGAAATCCTGTCATGCCAACAGCACTTACACGTGAGATTTTTAGACACTGGCCTTTTTCAGCCATCCACTGAACTGAAGCATCGTGAGAATCAACCACTCAGTTCACATCAGGTACTTGTGACAAAGTGTTTTTTTGGACATACAGCCAATTGACAGTCACAATCAAACCACAGCTCTGCTGCATGTTCATTGCACAGACAACAGTTAATCGTGCAGCCATGCAAACTGTTTTGCAAATTGAAATCTCAGAGGCATAGCAATTACAATACCAAATTTATACCACATCTCTCACTCAACTAATTGTACATCCAAAAAATCACCACTTGAATAATCTGAATACATTCACCTTTACAGCTAAAAAAGCCTCCGCTACATGCTTGATCTCAACACAATTTTGAGTTACAGAATCCCATGGGAAAGAAAATGCCAACCTCTGATTTCAACAGGAAAATTGCTTCTATCTAAATACAGCAGATGCATAATTCACACTGAGGTCTAACAGCCTGGTGTTCCCAGCAAAGCTTGTTTTTACTCTGCAAAACTGGGGATGTTGCTATTGCTGCCTGCAGCTCTCCCAGCCCATCTACAGGACAAGCCCTATATACACCTGCTCTGGATGTAGTGTTCACATCCAAAATAACAATACCTGGATTTCTAATTGTTAGCAATACTTAAAGGCCTTAAAATGAATTAGCAGACTTACAAACTGGGCTGATGTTTTGGATGAGTTGAGGTTTACAGAGCCACCAGTGGGGGCACATTTGTGCTGCTGTGGCATTTTGAGCTCTTTCACACACATATTTCTTGACTTTTGTTTCCATCTCGTGAAGTGAGGCAAGGTTGGGGAGATTTGAACTAGTGACTTTGCAGCTGGTGTATTAAATAAAGTCAAAATAGAAGAGAATTGGTGTTTAAATTGCAAAGGGAGGTAAAAATAAAGTTATCTAAGCCATGTGAGTGGGATCAAAAATGAGTCATCAAGGCTGGAAAATGGGTAGCCTCTGATCCCTGAAACTAAGAAATCTGGCTGCTGTTGTGTTGCTGCTGATCTAATTTTTACACTTTCCCTTCCATACAGAGGAGACACGTTTCCATTGCGTCCATCTCAGCTAAACAATCAGTGCCTGATCAGTCCCAATGCTTCACTCTCAGGGATGCACAATTAACCAGCTCCATGTTTGACTCTGCAAGGGGAGCGCAGTATTTTCTGGGAATGCCTGACATGTTTCAATCGTAAAGAACACAAACCAAATGACCCAGCAGATAATGACAGCCAGTGCCCTGACAGTGAGATAATGTGCGTGCTCCAAAGCAAGGCTTATTAGAAGCAATAAAAAAAATTTTGAAATGTTAGAGCAAAGGTCAGAAATGCTCAGCCATTACCACAGGCTCGATTTTTCCTTTTCCCAAGCGGTCACCAGCGCCTATTTCCAGTAAGTGAGTGTGTAGTCATGTTTGCCAGATGCCCACCCATCTATTACCGCACATTGTGAATTCTGGGCCATACAAACCCCACTAAAGTGGTGTGTAGGGAAACCTAGGACTACCTGGAAATCTCATCAGGTCCATATCCTATGGCTCTGCCCTTCTGAGTGCAGGGGCTGGCCCATACTGATATAGAGAAGGC